GGCCTTCCTGCTACCTATTTTTATTCATAGATATAGTTCTTGAACACTTTCAGAATGTTATGTAATTCCTGCATAAGTGGTGTCACTTCACATACAACATTCTACAGGTTGTGTTTTTCCACTCCGTGTTTGTTATTTGCCATCAGACCACATTGATCTGTATCTCTCATTGCGTGAGTAGCCCTGGGTTTTTGTGGTTTTCCCTGCTGGTAGGCATTTTGGTTGTCTCTGCTGTGCGGTCATCACTCTTTGTGGAATGCAGTTCTGGTTTCGTCAGATTGTCCATCAGCCAGGTACTCGGTGAGCAGTCATGGAGAGACGGGTCAGGTCTGTCACTGGTAATCCCCTAGGTTTGCAGTATACAGCCAAGATCAGCAACCTAAAAATAGCAGTTCTTACGTAAGGTGGTGTGGGCAGCTCTTCTCAGGACACTTGTGATCTACAGGGGCAAGTGGAACGGGACTCGAGGGCCCAGCATCTTCTCTTGTGCAATGCATCCAGCCGTCACACTGGGGCCCCACTGTGGCTTTCTACTGGTGGCCAGGCTCAGAACTGCAGCTCAGTGACCCAGAAACACTATGGGTGTGATCAGCTCAGCCCCAGGCGTGCCGTGTGTGCCTGAACGCATGTGTGCACGTGGTGGTGGTGGGGCCAGCTCTCACTTCTTCCTCTGCAGAGGTAAGAGCTGAGTCATGCATGGTGGGCCTTGGGACCTGCTTGGAACCGTGCCAAGCTACTTATGAAGCACCTAGTATGTGCTTGGCATGGCTCCAAGAACTGTGGACACAACAGGAAGAGGCTCCTGTTCTCACGGAGCTAAGAATTGAGTGGGGGAAGCAGAAAACACACAAGCAATGAATAGACGAGAAAACAGCAGGTCCTGTTAAATCCCGCAAAGAAAAAACAAAATAGGATTCAATCCCAGAGAAGGGGCCAGCAGACCCTTGCTACAAAGGGCCAGGTGGTAAATATTTTAGGCTTTGTCACCATGTTGTCCCTGTCACCAACACTCACCTCTCCCATTGCAGTGTGGAAGCCACCAGAGACAATAATAAATGAACGTATCTGGCTGTGTCCCAATAAATCTTTACAAAAGCAGGCTGAGGGCCAGATTTGACTCTCAGACCATGCATTACCAATGCCTGTCCTGGGTGTGGGGAGAGACTGCCTGAGCTGGGGTTGTCAGGGAGAACCCTTTTGAAAAGGAGACAGACAGGAACTGAGAACCCGTTGCAGGAAGGAGCCGACCCTGGGACAGCCTGTCTCGGGTGGGACGCAATGGCACCTTGCCGCCGATATGGTGGTGGAGTCGTGTGCTGAGAAGCGGGCGGGCTAGATTTGAGAGGAGGAAAAGATGATGAGATTTGCTCATGGCTTGAATGCTGGAGGTACAGAAAGGGGGAGATTCAAGGATGCATCCTAGATCTGGGTTTGAACTCCTGGGTGAATGGCGGTGTCACTGAAGGAGAGGAAGAGGCACAGGTCTGTGGGGACTGGGTTTAGTGTTGGATGTGTTGAGTTTGAGGAACTTGTTAGACAAGCAGGTGAACATCTATGCTGAGAGCCCTCTTAGAGCTTGGAGAGGCCAAGACCAGAGGCTTGGACTGGGGAATCTGTGGCATTTAGAGGGTCTTCAAGGTCGTGAGTCTGGTGAGCTGGTGCATGTGTGGACTGAGCAAGGGCGCCCAGCATGAGCTCTGAGTTAGTGCTTAGTGCTTAGGGCACCAGCAGAGGGGCCTGTGTGGCCTCCCACTCCACTCAGGAGGACAGCATAGTGCGAGCTCCAGGGCCCCTGCCTCCTAGAATCGCCTCAGTTCCCCTCCTGTAAAGTGGGGATTCTGCCTCCTGGGGTCAGGTGGGAACTAAATGAGATAGTCAGGCTTGGCTGAGAAGAAGCACTCAGCACCTGTGCTTGTGATGGTGGTGGTGACTGCTGCACTCACTGGGTGGGTGCATGGGTTGCAGGGCCTGTGATGGCTTGGTTTGGTGAATGGCAGAGTCAGGGATGGGTTGGGGGTGGAGACACCCAGGTCTCCTGGCAAGGACTGTTCTGATGTCCCGTTGAGGCCTATTCCACCCTGTTTTTCAAGGCTCCCCAGCGTGGCTGGACCTCTGCTGCCCACAGTGGTAGCCTGCTTAGTAGAACTTTTTTTTTTTTTTTTTTTTTTTTGAGATAGAATCCACTCAGTCACCTAGCTAGAGTGCAGTGGCGTGATCATAGCTCACTGTAGCTTCAAACTCCTGGGTTCAAGCCTCCTCCTGCCTCAGCCTTCCAAAGCGCTGGAACCACAGGCATGAATCGCTGCACCTGGGCGAAGTAGCACACTTTATCACTGCTTTCCCATCCCTGTCTGGCCGCCACCTCCCCTTTACTGGGGAATCCCCCTTCCCTCCCCCTAGTTCCCTATACTCCGGTGGAAGGGCCAGTTTCTGGGGTGATGCTGCTCAGTGCTGGCAGGCCTGCGGGGTACTGTGGGTAGTCAGTGGGCTGCCTGGCGTGGTGGGTTAGTGAGTCGGGGATGGGCAGCGTGGTTCTGACACCCCCATGCCTGAGCCTGGACATACTCCCCGTCTGTCTCCCCCTGCAGCCGGCGGCTGGAGACGATGGTGGACCACTTGGCCAACACGGAGATCAACAGCCAGCGCATCGCGGCCGTGGAGAGCTGCTTCGGGGCCTCAGGGCAGCCGCTGGCGCTGCCGGGCCGAGTGCTGCTGGGCGAGGGCGTGCTGACCAAGGAGTGCCGCAAGAAGGCCAAGCCGCGCATCTTCTTCCTCTTCAACGACATCCTGGTGTATGGCAGCATCGTGCTCAATAAGCGCAAGTACCGCAGCCAGCACATCATTCCCCTGGAGGAGGTCACGCTGGAGCTGCTGCCGGAGACGCTGCAGGCCAAGAACCGCTGGATGATCAAGACGGCCAAGAAGTCCTTCGTGGTGTCGGCCGCCTCCGCCACGGAGCGCCAGGAGTGGATCAGCCACATCGAGGAGTGTGTGCGGCGGCAACTGCGGGCCACTGGCCGCCCGCCCAGCACGGAGCACGCGGCGCCCTGGATCCCCGACAAGGCCACGGACATCTGCATGCGCTGCACGCAGACGCGCTTCTCCGCCCTCACGAGGCGCCACCACTGCCGCAAGTGCGGCTTCGTGGTCTGCGCTGAGTGCTCGCGCCAGCGCTTCCTGCTCCCGCGCCTGTCCCCCAAGCCTGTGCGCGTCTGCAGCCTCTGCTACCGCGAGCTGGCTGCCCAGCAGCGGCAGGAGGAGGCGGAGGAGCAGGGCGCGGGGTCCCCAGGGCAGCCGGCCCACCTGACGCGGCCCATCTGCGGAGCGTCCAGTGGAGATGATGATGACTCCGACGAGGACAAGGAGGGCAGCAGGGACGGCGATTGGCCCAGCCGCGTGGAGTTCTACGGCTCGGGCGTGGCCTGGTCTGCCTTCCACAGCTGACCCCCGGCCTGCAGAACATCTGTCCCCAAGCCAGCTCCACTGCCCACGCCCCCAAGAGAGCAGCTCCAGAAGCTGCCTAGGGCTCCGGGAGCCCACCCCATGGTGGCAGGGGCAACGGTGGGGAGTGGCTCTTTCTGGACTCCCAGTGCCTTTTTGCTGGACACTGTGTCCTTCTGACTTCACTGCAGGTAATGCCTTTCCCTTCAGGAAGCCCCAGAACACCCAGACCTCTTGGGAACCAACGCCAACTCCCGCTCTGCAGGCTGCTGCGGCAGCTCCAGAAGGCCTCCTGAGCTGGACGACCCCAGGTCTCCAGACACCTAGGGACCAGAGCGGGTTTTGGAACATAGACGGAAGACAGCGGGAATGTAGCCACAAGCCACAGAACCCACCCTCACCCCGACAAGCACACCCCACTGAAGAGCCTGAATCCCAGGAGGCCTCCTGGAAGCTCAGGCCTGCCCACCCACCACGCTGGTGCCCACTGCCTGGCCGGCAAAGCCCTGCCAATCAGACATACGGGCTCCCTGAAGCCCAGCCAGAGATTGCCATGCTGTGGATGCCACCAGACCCAGAGACTGCAGCCGCGATGCCCAGGGCAGCCGGGTGAGGACTCTGTCCTGTGTCACCTCTCTCCAGGTGTCCAGCTGTCTCGTGCCTTTTTGTCCTGTCCTCGGCTCTCCCTGCGGTCAGTGAAACCAGTGTTTTCTGTTAGGACTCAGTTGCAAGAACAGAAACCCTGCCCACACTTAATAATAAAAAAGGAAGTTTATTGATGGGTGATTGCAAAGCCCAGGAGTGTCCTTGCTTCAGACATGGCTCTGTCCATGGTTGAAAATGTGGTAGGTGGCCAAAATCTACCACTGTCCCCCACACTGGGCGTTCTTGGGTATATCAGCTGCCCGACAGAGACAGATGCTCATGCCGTGCCTTGGCCAGGCCTCCCCAGGACACAGGTCTGTCTGGGTGCCATGACTGTGGCCTGATGCCTGCTGCCCTATTCACTTTGGTGTGGGGGATCTCAGTGGATGGAACTGAGGAAACAAATAGCCATTTGTGTGGTTCTGCCAGGCCTCGCAGGCTGAGAGCTCCCCCGTGCCGTCCTGCCTGGCCCTGGGGCTCGTGTGTGGAGAGGGAAACTGGGCCCCAGGTCCACCAGCCCTGCTCAGAGTGAGTGTGCATTGGGCCTGGGGCTCGAGGCCAGCCTCCCGACACTTGGCCATGGAGCTGGGGATCCTTTCACAGTGTCCCACGAGTGTTTCTGTACTGCTCTTTCCTAGCGCCTCGGCCTTGGCCAGACTGGGGCATGGACTGGTGTTGCTGTCAGCTAGAAGTGATGACCGTGGGGCTGGGAGTCTCCTGCCCGTGCAGCACAGCATCTGAAACCCCACTGACAGGGCGTCTCCCCGGCCTAGCACCATCCTCCTGGGGCCAGTTATCGGAGGGTCACATGCAGACAGAACCCTGGAGGGTGCAGTTTGAGTGCAGATTCTGATTCAGCAGGTTGAGGCCCAGCTCCCAGGGCCTGCTGCCACCACTGCCCACGGACCACCCTTGAGGTGACAAGGCCTGCTGGTGGCCTGTGGGCACCCTGCAAGGGAGGTGGGAGGGGTCAGTATTTTTTGTTGTTGTTTTTTTAAGACAGAGTCTCGCTCTGTTGCCCACGCTGGAGTGCAGTAACGCGACCTCGGCTCACTGCAACCTTCGCCTCCCAAGTTCAAGTGATTCTTCTGCCTCACCCTCCCAAGTAGCTGGGATTACAGGCGTGTGCCACCACACCTGGCTAATTTTTGTATTTTTAGTAGAGATGAGGTTTCACCATGTTGGCCAGGCTGGTCTTGAACTCCTGACCTCAGGTGATTTACCCACCTCGGCCTCCCAAAGTGCTGGGATGACAGGTATGAGCCACCACGCCTGGCTGAGGGGTCGGTATTGAAGCACCTTCGACCTGCTTCAATACCGAAAGTATTTGGCAGAGTAACCAGTGTGGGAGGCCCAGTGGCCTTCCAGGAAGGACTTATTTGTTTACAGTCCCTTTCTGTCCCTTGGCCTCTCTGAACCACACAAACTGGTTCAGGCTGGTTCTGCCTGGGCAGAGGGCACAGAGTGAGACAGGTCACGGGGCTGGGGATGACTTCCTGGACAGATCTAGTGCCCTCTCCAAAACCTACGCCGGGCGGCCACGTCCCTGCACCCTGGCACTGAAGCCAGACCAGGGTGTGCTGGCTGCTGCCGCTGGCCTCCCTTCACATACCACTCCCCTGCCCGGAAACCCTCTGAGCCTAAAAGGCAGCATTCACTAGGATGGGAGAGGGGACCATGTGCAACTGAGCCTGGCTACCGCCAGCCTCCTCTATAGCTTCCTGCCAAAGGGGTCCGTGCACAGGACCCCAGGCTGACTGAGTGCAGTGTCGTCCTCTCCAGGGCATGGCGGGCAGCGCCCTGGGGTCTGGGGCTGACTAGGTGATTCTCAGCCCTCAGCCCAGGACTCAGGTCTGTGTCCCTCTCCCCTGCAGGGCTGGGACAGAGCTGCTACTGCCCTGAGTCCCAAGGTGTTAGGGCCTATAAGGACCCAAGGCTTGGGGTGGCCCAGGACCTTCGCAGAGCTTTCACACATGCAGCCTTGCTCCTGCAAGGCTGGGGACACAGCTGGGAGTGAGACGAACAAGGCCCGCACAGCATGGTGGGGAGACACAGGCGCAGAAGCCGGGTTGGAAGGTGCTGTGATGGGGGCAGACTGAGAATGAGTGAGTGACACCTGCCGGGTGGGGAGAGGACATTGCAGAAGAGGTAACAGGCAGTACAAAGGCAGGAAAGGAACCCCTGTGACCTGAGCAGCGTGGCTGGAGCTGAGCCCCCAGAGGCGCAGGGCAGCCACCTCGGGTGCCCCGGAGCTCCGGGAACCTTCAGCACGCAGCGAGGCTGCTCTTGGCTTTTGAGAGCTTGCCCTGACTGCTGTGTGTGGGTGGCTGGTGTGGGGAGAGGGGGTCGGGCAGCCATGGAGGCTGGCAGCTGTCCGCTTCCCTGGGATCCCCAAGGGCAGACCTGGGCTTCACTAAGGTCACATCTGCCTCCGATTCTGCCTCTGGCTGTGGACTGGAAGCCTTAGCTGCCCTCCTTCCCATCCTCAGCTCCTTCCAAGGGGCAGGCCCCTCCCCTGTTCTGCTGGGATGTTTTGTTTGTTTTTTTGAGATAGAGTCTTGCTCTGTTGCCCAGGCTTGGAGTACAGTGACACAATCACGACTCACTGCAGCCTCGACCTCCCAGGCTCAAGCCATCCTCCCACCTCAGCCTCCCAAGTAGCTGGGACCACAGGCACACACCATGGCACCCAGCTAATTTCTTATTTATTTATTTATTTATTTAAAGAGACAGGATTTCCCTATGTTGCCAGGCTAGTCTCGAACTTTTGGGCTCAAGCAATCCTCCCACTTCAGTCTCCCAAGTGCTGGGATTATAGGCGGCAATCACCGCACCCAGCCTATGCTGAGACGTTCTACAGGCACTGAGTCTCAGCTTCCAAGCTGACAGCAGAGGGGGCGCCAGGAAGCAGAACGCCCCCCCCAGACTGCATGGTGCTTGGGGCTGGTGTGAGTTTGAATGAATCAGGGCCCCTGGCCACTGAGGCACAGAGGGCAGTATGCTGGGAGACAGCAGAGTCACCCAAAATGGAAGATGCGGACCTGGCCTGTGGGCCCAGGAAGGGAAGGCGCTGCCCTGGAGGCCCTGTCTCCAACTCCTAACAGGTTTATTTTCCACCAGAGATGGCTCAGGTCGACAGGTGAAGCTAGGCTGGCTGCCTAGGCAGTTCCCAGAGAGGGCCTTGCCTTAAGGAGCAGGCACGGAAGGCCGGCCTGTAGAGCTCATGACCATCTCCCCTGCTTTGCCACGGTGCTGTTGCCAGTCCCCTTCTTGGGTGGGGAAGCTCCTTGGAGGCTCTGGGAGTTGTCCTCAGTCCCAGCCATGCAGCTGAGCTTTGCTCATGGCCTGCACTCCGCCCCCATGCCTGGGAAGGTCAGGAGGCCTCTGGCCAGGGCCTCTGCTGTTTGCAGATGCTCCCTTTCCCCAGAGCTGAGCCTGAGGTCTGGCAGGAGTATGGGGCTGCTGGGCCAGGGTCCAGCCTCACGCTTCTGCCTGGGGCTTTGCTTGCAAGACCTGGCAAGGACACGGGAACCAACTGTCCTGCCAGCCGAGTGTTGCTGTCCACCTCTCAAATCTTCCTCCCAGCTGTGCCTGGACTCCATGTCCCTGCCAGAAGCCGGTCCTTCATACAGGCAGCATGGGATTCCTGGGAGGCGCCTGCCTCGTCCCCTGCCTCTTCCTAGGAGATGCAGCGGGGTGAGGAGAGGGTTCCAGAACAGGCCCATGCATTTGAGGGGCATCAGAACCCCACCACCCCACCCACAGGGGCAGGACCAGAACTGCTCTTGCAGGAATCAGCCCAGAGCAGAGCAGCTCGAGATGGCAAGTACAGTCACAGCTGTGACCCCAGGGCTCTTTGGCACTGATGACAGCTCCTTTATTTATTTATTTATTTATTTTTATTTATTTTTTTTTTTTTGAGACAGAGTCTTGCTCTTGTCGCCAGGCTAGAGTACAGTGGCATGATCTTGGCTCACTGTAACCTCTGCCTCCCAGGTTCTAAGCGATTCTTCTGCCTCAGGCTCCCAAGTAGCTGGGATTACAGGCGCGCGCCACCACGCCCGGCTAATTTTTTGTATTTTTAGTAGAGACGGGGTTTCACCATGTTGGCCAGGCTGGTTTCGAACTCCTGACCTCAGGTGATCCACCCACCTCAGCCTCCCAAAGTGCTGGGATGACAGGCGTGAACCACTGCACCCAGCCAGCTCTCCCTTTGGCTGCAGACACTAAGGCGACTTTCACAAAGGTCAAGTAGACCCTCCCTGTGAGCTTTGGTGGTTGGGATTTTTCGATGCCAAGTTTTCTTAAAGACGGGCCCACCGGCATGTATGCTGGTAACCTTGGAGTATTGTCTGCCAGAGGCCAGGGAGCCAGGCAAGGGGTTCACAGGACCCCCAGAATTTTGTCCCTCCTTGATGATGGTGGGGTGCAGGTGCTGATGGTGACAGCAACTACCACTTACTGAGGCCCATCTGTGTGCTGGTTCCAAGGAGGCAGAGACAGGTCACATGAGGCCATCCTAAGGCTAAAGGAGATGTGTCATGAGCCCTGAGAGAGAGATAGACAAAGCCAGAGAAAGGAACTCCCAGGACAGCTAGGTGGGCTTCCTGGAGGAGGCTGTGTTTCGTTGAACCTCAGAGGATGGTAGGACTGTATCAGAGGATTGTAGTCTCCACGAGGACTGGGACTCTGGGCCTTTTTGGTAACTGTCTTTTCCTGTCCTTGGCACGAAACATTTGTTGAATGAATGAGTCAGGTAGAAAATAGGGCTGGGGGGCGTCGGGATAGAGAGGATGATAATGAAAGGAACTGAGCTTCACCCTGGAGCCTCCAGGCCAGGCTGTGGAGAGGAACCGGTGTTCCTGGTGTATTTCTACAGGAGCAGGGCCAGCAGGAGGGCTCAGCCTGGCCCAGGGTTTGGGGAACAGTCCCCCTCCCAAACGCTAAATGTGAGTGGCCTTCTCAGGTGGGGACAGGAATGCCCACCCCACCCCACCCAAGTAGCGCTTTCTGGAGCCAGGTCTGACTTGATCACAGGCCGGGCTCCAGGCTTCCGAGGGGCTCTCGTCCGGACTGGCACCAGACGGTTTCCACCGGCCTGGCCACTTCCCTGCCCAGCCTGTTCTTTGAACAAGGCCAGAAAGAGGC